AATTTTAGACACTGATGTATATGGTTGGTTTGAATTTACAAATATCTGTGTTCAATTTGACGTTGTTTGGAGAGGTGTGTTGATTAAACAGGAAAAACTGTTCGCCATTCACACGTTTGGAGAACAGAAAAATAATTGGAGAAAACAAATTAAATAGATTTGCCAAATATAGTGAATTATAAAACATAGACTCATACTTGATTAAAGAGATTCTGTCAAACAATAAAGATACACAGAACTTGTATCAGTTTTTGACCTATATCTGTGTTTGTTCGTGTGTAAAAATCAATTCAGTAACATTTCTTTCAGTTTTACAAAAAAATATCACATCAAAATTCCAAATAAGATGAGCCAGATATTCCAAATAAGTTTATGCCTTTTCAGAAAATATAACAGTAATAAAAATATGACCATCAGATATGAATTGAAGGACTCCATAGCGATCCAGTTGAAAATAAATATTCATACTAGATTTGATACAATGTTCAATGTCAAAACATGTATTGCAAATGAAGTGATAGATAAATTAACTACTCACTTACGTGTCGTTCTCATTCAACTATCTATTAACAATTTTTTAAAGTTCCTAAATGAGAAAATTCACTTAACTTTTACTGTGTATGAGAAAATGGCATGTTTAAATATATTTCTGGAAAAAAATTCTACAAACTGAAAAACACCCTCGTAATGTTTAAAGGTCACGTTTTTGATGCTGCAAAAATGTGTATCGGACTGTCGGATGTTTTACTACTGCTATTTAGAGTGATTGAAATTATCTGAATCCAGAAAAACAACTTTATTTTGAAACTTGTAAAAACCTCAAATCAATCTATTGGGTGTTTTGCAGACATATCAAGTCTTCTATCCTGTTTATTATATTTCCCAGAAGATCTCTGTGATTTTTGCTCCTGTTATGGAGAAAATATAGACATGTATTATACATTAGAGGGACATCCTAAAAACGTTTTTCAATTTGTTGACAGCTTATTAGAAGTGTATTCCGGGATCTTTGTTACAAGCTGCAATCAGGCAATAGTAATTCGGTTTAAGCTCTTCGTAGAAATGCTATGCTATATCCTTAAAATAAGATTCAGGGAATGATTTCATTCGAATATAGCAATTAGTATGGTTGGAAAAAAATCGCTCAACAATCCATTAAAGGCAAGCTGATGAAGCGCAAAAATGAAACAAGGTTGTAATTAGAAACGCGGTAGAAAAGCCTATGGACATTTAGTCACATGTGAAATATCTGCCAGTATTTTTTTTTATCTCAATATCAATTTTAATATGATAGTTACGTAGTTTCAAGTTCTTCAAATTTTTGACAGAAAGTCATTGGATAATTTTCAATTGATATTGAAACCTGGAAACCTATTGGTAGGGACTTCGTTTGTGATAAGAAAGCATGGGCTGAACTCTTGTTAAAGACACCTCATTCAACCTTAAACATAAACAAAGGAAGTGAATTTTTCAATTTCAAGGAATCGAAATTAGAAGTGAAAATCAAATATTTTTCGGATGAGTCCTTACAAAAAGAACTCCCTAGGCCTTTCACTTTAGACTTTACATATAGTGCGAAATGTTTTTAAGATTTCAAGGCGTTTTTCACGATTTTTTGTATTTTACGTGCCAGCAATACGTCAGAAATTATCATTGAAATAATTAAACGCCATTATAAAAAAAAAATTACTCAATTTTTGATCCTGTAGATGAAATTGAAAATAAAACATGAACACAATGCATCTTGATCTCACAAATATCGCTTGAAAGAAAAAAATCACTCCAAATTCGATACAAACATCTCAGGAGAAATTTAAAATGCTTGAAATCAAAACAAGCCTAGATTGATAAAATGTTTTCTCCAGAAATCTTATATTATAAAATAACAATAAATCTTTCTTAAGGTGACTAGAAGTGCACTAGAAGCCTTTTTTTGTTGTTACATATAAAATAAGAATTTAAACATTAAATTCGGTTTACTTGATTCAAAATCGACCCGACATTGCCGACCCCAGCTGAAATAGGCGAATTAACATTGTGCATATTTTGGACTAGATGACATGCTAAAGAACTCTCACTGATGAATAGTACAATTTGAAGCCCTTGCACGATATATTGAGGTAACGTCTCTATATAAGTAAGGAATTCTTAAAAGGATCTTAAACAACACGGAATACAGTTCAATGTATAACGAATTTTCAAAGAACTCTTCGGATAATCTTCTTATCATAGAAAAGAAAGAATATATAATATTTTCATAAGAATTAATTTAGTCACAAAAACGTTATTCAGCATCAAACTCAATTACCGTATATAACTAATTTTTTAATGTAGTTTTTAATTCGTCGATTTATGGTAATAATCTCATACGTTAAAAGAAAACTCTTGCTGTGGCCTTCAACTCGACATTTAGATATATCGACGACGTATTCTCAGCAAATACAATTTATTATTGAGTAAAATGCTGACTGAAGTTTTTTCGCACTAATTTTTTGTCCATTATTTATACACAGAATTAATGACGCATTTTCCCGTTATTTCCCGATCATGACAAGAAGCACACGGCAGGTGTGACGGTCGGCAGGGGATAGTCACTCCTCCATGGCACCTGATTCCACCTCTGATGTTTTGGAGGTCCGTGTTTGCTCTGCTCCTATTTTGTATTGTTTTATGGACTTTTAATCTTGAATACTGTACGTTATATCCATATGTTTCATTCTTTTGAAAACTAATAAACCAGAAACGTATAAAGGTTCAATGAGTGCTTATTATTCGATTCGATGTGCATAAATTTTTTTTCACCCGAAATAAGAGCTTTTTGTCCTTATCTGATTGTAGTGCATTGACTACAATGCATTGTGTTTATTATTATGAAGCCAGATAATTATTGATGAATCTACTGGTAATCATGAGTGATATAAATAATAGTATCCTAACTTCAATTTTCACCAAGGCAAATTCATTTTGAAATTCAGTTTCTCAATTTCAAATATACGTTATTGGACGTTAGAAGTAGTTCATAAAGTAACTAAGAGGCTCAGTCTAATATAAAAAGCAAAGCACAAAGATATTAAACATCATAGACATCCTGTTCAGAGTTTCTGTAAAAATACATTAAGATTCCTCAAAGGACCCGCGGTGCTTTATTTTGCTTTTATGTTCACCAAAGGAGATAAATAATTGGAATGTCAGACAGTTCAAATATGAAAATAAACCCATAACAAAACACAGGAATGAAATAATAGAAGATCAGTCAAGAATGGTGATTTGCTTGTCTTAAAGTGTGGCCGAGAATTGCTGGAGATTTTTATCAAGGAAAAAGTTATTCCAACAAATTAAGCCCATTGCCATATCTGGATATTGATAGCAAAAAGAGCATAAAATGCAAATAAAATAGCAGTTGTTCCTCTCCTGGGTTTGACTCTCCTTTAACAAAAAAGTCGGGAAAAATGCCCCAAAACTATGTACGTCATTATTCTTTAATATTTCTTTAAATGCTAATGAATTAGAAATTTATCCAAATGACCAATTTAGGGACCATGGTGATATGAAATTGTATTTTCATTACTCCGCACTAATTCAAAATCTTTGAAATCATCAACAAAGATGCGGTACCAAAAATAAATTAAATTGAAAGAATGTAAACGGAGGAGATATGGCCATCATTAAATGACAAGTGAAACAAAGTTGAAAAATAAGCTTTAAATCGATAAGCCATGTTTTATTATCTTGTAAATTTAAGATATACAACACTACGTGATGTTTTGTAATTAATAAAGATTTATTTGTTAAGAAACTTTAAATATTATATAATTATAATCGATAATCAAGAGCATGCTCTACGTATGAACAATTTCTAAAAGGAGGTAAAGTTGATGAAACAAGAATATCAGCAGTGTCGTTTAAAGTCATCATTTAGTTAGTTGTATGGTCGATACAATTTATCATTGAGTCAAATGCTGACTGATGTTTTTCATACTAATTGTTAGTCTATTATATATACACTGAATTGACGACGGATTTTTCTGTTATTTCCCGATCGTGACAAAGAGCACACGGCGGGTGTGACCGGTCGGCAGGGGATGCTCACTCTTCCATGGCACCTGATCCCACCTCTGATGTTTTGGAGGTCCGTGTTTGCTCTGCTCCTATTTTGTATTGTTTTATGGACTTTGATATTGAATACTGTTCATTATCTCCATATCCTTCTCCGTCCTTTTTTTCTCGTCACCAGATGTAAAGTCGACAAAACAGTTTTCAATTTTCAATGTGAATATTCCTCCATTATAGAAAACAATGATAGTTTAATTAGATATAAATATTGACGATTAACAGAAATCATTGATAAACTTATTTTTATTTGCAAAGTCTTCATTTCAGTCATTTTTGAGACAAATGTTATCAAAAGTAGAATCATTATATTTATAACAAGAAATCCAACGAACTGTTTGCACACTTTCTAAAAACTTCAATAAGCAGAATGATGAAAAGGAAATTCATGCTATTTTTATTTTGGGCTATTTCAGTTTGGAGTTTTAAATCAAAATAACATGCATTTTTAATGAACTCTCTAAAGGTTAGAGTTTAAAGTTACACTGTACTAGAATACCTGGATATGTTAGTGCTTTACTATCGATTCCTATCACACCAATGCATATTTTAATTCCAGCATTGATATTAATTCAGATAATGAGCTACAAAATCTATTTGCAAGAACACGTTCAAACGATTTGAAAATGCCAGCAATTTTGATACTCTGTAATTTCAAGTCAATTTTTAATTTTTCTCTCTTTCTCTCTCTCACCAATTATCTAATTCGTTTCGGTTTTCCAAGGAAACATGACATTTTTCACTGGATTTGGAACCTATTTTCTATTACCAATCAATGAAATTCAAGTACCATTTCTAAAAAAAATACAATGCATTCTTTTTTCTAATTATAAACTAAAATTCACAACATCAATCCTCAGAGAATTGAATATCTAACAAAGTGTACAGACCATTAATTGTAGTGTCTTTCCCTCACGCAGGGCTAGATGTGTCGTAGTTAAAAACGAGACATGGTTAATGAGAAACTACTGGGAGTCGATGCACATTCTTATTCCTTGAAATGTAGTGCTATCTGGAAAAAAAAATAACCGAAGTGAATATTGAAATTGAAGATTTTACACCGCTTCAGGGACTTCAGCTATTAATTTGTAACACTGTAGTCCTGATGCTCTTTTTATATCTTCTTTATAATATTTATAACTTAAACAAATAAATTGTTATATCCTTATGAATGTAGCGGACACTAATTAATGATTGATTGCCTTTAAAAAACAAAACAGTTTTCATGAAAGTTTGAACACATTAAAATAGTTTTGATAATACAAAGAGAAAAAATACACATCTTAGACATATTTTTGATCATTGAAGCCTTTTATAAAACCTTTTTCAAACATGAGCTTTAACTTTATTACACCATCTCAACTTAACAAGTTAAAATTTGTGTACTTGAAAATTATCAAAATAAAAGTGAAAGCTAGTAGTGTTTTCCTCGAGTGACTAAGAAAAATGCAAAAACATGAGCTTCGTGTGGTACATTGAATGCAAGATTGTGCTGAAATGAAACTGTAAGGCTGAAAACATGAATGCTTTGTCAGTAATATGAGTATTTTTGTTTTTAAAAAAATGGCGATTATGACCTTAAAAATTCTAACAAATTAATTGTCTTAAACCTATTTCAGCAATTACTTTTTGTATTAAAAAAAGAGAAAAATCATAGTTAAAATGGATAAAACTACCAAAAGAAATGGGAATTGCAATATGTGAAGTAAATTCGAAGAACATGAGCTTTTGATAATGACTTGCAAAAAAGAAATAGTTCAGATGCATTATCACTCAAAGGCAGAAAGCATATAAGAGATAAAACAACACTTTTAAAAAAATGTTGATCACCATTGAGACAGAGACAATAATATTAAGATAATCACTATGAATTGAGATTTTACCAGATGTTTTGATTATGTTTGAATTTTCAGTTATCTACAAAGACAACATTAATACTAAATTTTGAATTCAAGAATATGTTAATAACCCATTCTTAATATTGAAATAAACTTGATCAATGATAAGAAAGTCGGTTGGTGATTAACATGCAATAAAACTTCTTTATTGTATGTACCGTGAAAAGTAATGAGAAGGGATTACTTTCCTGTTTATTAATTAGATAGCGAGATGAAAACATTATCCAAAGCTTTGTTGAGATTGATTTATTGTAAAAAAAATTATCATATACATGTCTCTACTTCTCAAATAGTATAATAGTTTTCAAAATCAATTTAAAGCTGAAGAAAAGAATGGTGGACATCCATAGTCATTTCTTAATTTCAGTTTATCCAAATAAGTTCAAATAATCAATGCAATACAGCAGAAATTTTCACTTTAAGTAAAAAAATAATTACAAAAAGTACATAGGAGAAAACATCCCCTTTTGACAGGTCACAGCCGCCACGAGCCTAAGTATTAATAAGGAAGTCGAAACTTTACGTAGTCAAATTCAGTACAAAAACAAAGGACTGGCCTTTTTCAAGTCTTTCAAGTCAGTAAAAATACGACACAGTGTTAGATTATTTTCGCGCACAATTCAATCATTATTTTATAATAATATCAATTTGGTATGTTTCAGAACTTAAATTGCGCTTCCTGAAGTTTTAACTTCTTTACTTAGTGATAGTAAGCGTAAAAGTTTAATACAATAATGTATTAGAATGTTCGTCAACAGTGAATTTGTCAAACAAAAATGTGTAGGCTTTGCAATTGATAACACTCATATATACATTTAGCACTTTCTAGAATATATCAGTTTGTTAATAGCTTAATGTCATACAGAAAGACAAACTTGGTATTTTAGGAAGATGAACTTGGAAACAAATTTGTCTTAGGAGCTACAGCTGTTGATTTGCGACACTTTGAGCATCTATACGTTTACAAGAACTTTACTTTGTACGTGTATTATAATTTCAGAATAAAAATTACATTTTCAGTAAAATAAAAGTGGTTGTGATATGGAAGACCTATGGTTACTGCATGTGAAAGCAATTCTGAGAAATTAAGCAAACTCGTCTCAATAGTGAAATTTACAATTAGAAAAAAATACTTGCCACAAAAATTAGTAAAGTTTAAGCACATTGAGTTAGTCTTAAAACAACTTAATTTTTCACCTCATCTCTCAGTATTTCGATAATAATTAATTCGTTTCTTACTTCATTAACCAGAAACGGTTCGCGACAGACAAAACTCTGACATATTGTTTGTTTTAAAAACTTGTTAGATGGCTAGAATCTTGATTAATGCTCCAGAGCATGTACATGAAAAGCGAAATCGAGATATCATTTGCATTTTGTTAGCTGTAATAATAATAAATAAAATTATATAGTGTACTTATGACTTAACCTCTACAGGGGATGCGTGCTCCTCAAATACACCTGATTCCAACTATGATATTATGAAAGGTACTCAGGATTAGTATTGATTCAATGGACTTTTAGTTGTTTACTGTTCGTTAACTTCATTTTTTATCTTATATGTTGTGATTTGTTTTAAGGTTTAATAATCATAATAGCCTCTTATGGCCTTCAAAAAATGTTTGATAAGAGAAATCAATCATTTGTCCTTCAATATACATGTGTCTTGATTGAGAAAAATCAATATACAAGTGGCTGGAGAAATTATCATTATTTTTAATGACAAGAATGTAACAGATACAGTTGAGTTTATCAATATGGAGCAAATGAAGTAATGATATTCAAATACACAGAGATTTGTACTTTTTAATTCAATCAAACATTTGGCTTATATTTCATCTGAAAATCTCATATTACTTCGTATATGATTAATTTATGATCTGGTGTTATCATGATTAACGAGATCCTCTACAGTGTAATATGTCACAATTTTTACCTGATTTTTTGTCGAAAATATGTACCGAAGACCTAAATTTTATCGAATAATATCTTAAGCAAAAGACATTTAAAGTCTGATTTACCATTTTTAACTGGCTTTCATAATTATTATAGAGTAGGAGATTTCTTTGATTTTGAAAGCATACTAACGTTTTCAACTAAATTATTTTGAAAAAAAAATATGTTAACCTATAGAAAACGATTGAAACTATTTTGTTTATTTTAAAAGTACAATTATTCACAAATATTAATAATACAGTTTGGATTTATTTTAGTTATTATGATAAGCATTAAATCTTTGATGTTCTAATCCCTATCACAACTCGTTCCTTGCTAAAATAATAAAATGCTCTTAAAGTAAATTCTGACGACAGTCAAAATTCTTAGAATGAAACATATGGAGACAACAAACAGTATTTAAGATGAAAAGTCCATTAAACAATACAAAATAGCAGCAATTAAAAGCTTTTTATATTGCACTAACAATCATGACTTAATATCACTAAATGGGTAAAATATGTCTTGAAATTATTTACTAGTTTTTGCGATGCATATGTGTCTCAAGTGTACACATAAAATTCACAAGATAATGGATAAAAATAAGTTCTTAATATGCAATTCCTCCACAGAATTGATTTCGAAAATATAGCCTTGATTTTTTCAAAATTTTGATAATAAAATATTAGCCAAGGTTCTGAATATGGTATAGAATAAATAAAATATTTAGAATGGTGAAAAACAGTCGGTTCCGCTCACTGACAGACCTCTTTCGTGTCGTTTGACTTTATTTATCTTTGATATCCTGGTCTTTTTTTGTACTTTTGTGAAAGACCGACTTCTGTTCGATCGGCCTCAAAATGCTTCAGAAAAACTTAAATTTTATTTATAGATATTTTATTCCTCTAGATCTGATGTACAGAGGACCAGGTAAAAGGGATCGCGATTTCTTATCCATACAATGTCATTTTACTAAAAAAAACAAATTAAAAAAATACGTTCAAGATTTCATAAAAATAAAATTCGGACACTTTCAAGTCTTGTGCCTGGTATACAACAAAACTGCTCTCAAATTTTACAAACATGTACTCTGAAGATTATATTAAAAGGATACTGTAGCTAGTGACAATATGTGTGACAATACATACCTTCCAATACACATGCAATTTCTATGGGCTCAAATAGTACACCTATATTCGCTAAATTAAAATAGAATTAAAGCCGAATTCGATTTCAAATATCTTTCAAAAGTAAATTAAACTGTTTCCTTATACTTGTCATTGATTATATCGATTTCAAATATCTATATGCACAAGAAAAAAAGTACATATAGTAACTGTTTAAATGTCCAAAAGTTCCACTTGTCATTGACTTATATCAGTAAAAACAGTGAGTGAACTTTTGTTTCGATTTAACAATGATCAAAAATTTTTATTTATCATGTGCATAAATTGATATGTCAGACATACTTTTGGGTGATACATCCCAATTATATCGAAATAAAAGACACAGCAGTGTTTGGAAAGATAATTGAAATTTTTTTTCACATGAAATACATTTGCGTTTGCTTTTCCCTAATTTTTCTCCTAGCATTTTTTTTGGTTTCTGGACATATATCAAACCTTTATTTCATTTTTCTTTTCTGTTTTTTAACTTAACTTATATAGTGTATTATTATTATCGGACGGCTACAGGTAAATTTTTAGTTATAGTGTTTTAAGTCTAGTTACATGCAAAATCTTATATCGATGCAGTGTTTGGAAAGATATTTGAAATTTACATGAAATACAGACTTCCAACTTATTTGATACCAAAGAAGATGTTCTTATTTGATACCAAAGATGTTCTGTGTAGGATAATTTTTAATCTGATGTAGGCTTCTGACAAAAAAGTTGATGTTACACCGTTTTGATCGGCCTTGTTAAAAGTCAGCAATTCTTAAATTCTAAAGTCGTTATAACTACTTTTTTTTAGCTGATCTCTCCTACAATTGAATCATGTTTAGCCCGACATATTCATGTGACTTAATAGGCCCGTTGTTTTTATTCTTAATTTGTCCAAGGTATGTTACGTCTACCTTATCAATACAAATGACCAACGGAAAATGTGTTCAGTCGACGTGGAAAGTTTTCTCTACTTTGTCAGCTGCCCCCCCCCCCCCGTCCAACGGAGGGGGCTTCTTTTATCTCCTTTCATTGATTCATATTTTTTGTAGTTTTATATAGAGCCAACGCTTTTTGTTATCTTTTATTACTTTTATATTTGTTAAAACATTAATGCCTCGTTTTAAAAGGGAAAAAAAAACTTTGTTTCATTGAAAAATAAAGTTAATGTTGGTTTTTAATTTCTTTTGCTTCATGCAGAAAACAGTGTATTCTTAAACCCCCCAAAATATCATAGTTTATGTTTCATATATTTTCCTACTTTCTTTTTTATTCACGCTGGTAAAGGAGAAAAATGGCAAACAAATCAACATCCTCCTCATGACATATAGAAATGGGATCCATGTTATAAATATTGACTAACTGTGATCTCCAACTGGACTTAATGATTAGTAGCACAGTGGGTAAACCCAGATGAATGTTATTTTTCCGAAGAATCGGATGAAAAGTAGGTGCTGGATTCCAGTTGTGATAGCTATGTTATGTAATCAATAATCAAGTCATCATTCAATGCACTAAACAGCTACAGACTGTATACCCCAAAAGAAAGAGATACATGCATTGAAACACCAAGAGAATATTGTCGCAAAATAATTTGACAGGGTATTGCTTGTTAGCTGACATCCAGAAAAAGCAATTGCAGAATAAGAAAATATTCCGTAAAAGCCCTAAGGAACTTATTTAAGGGAAGTTCAAAACAGAATCAATCTGCCTTGATATAAGGAACGGAATCTCAAGCAGGCAGCTGCTAATGATGGTAATTATGACTCAGAAATATTTTTTACAAGACCCATATTTCAGAAACAATCATTCTGCCTGTTTTCATGCTGTGCATTATTGATTCCTTTCATTCTATTGATGTCAGTGTGTATCAGTAACATTTTCTGAATAGTAAAATACCCTTGAGGCACTTTAAAAAATCAACATTTGTGAAGTATGTGATTTAATTTTTTTATTGAATGGTTTATACAATGTCTGATTATTTAAACCTAATGTTAAGGAATCGCAATCGCTTAGTTTAAATATGGATAAATACCTCCTTTTGCTTTAAAAACGATCGATGCACTTACCATGAGTTCAAAAAGAAATATGCAAAAGTGGGTCCGTTACATACTAGCATAAAATTAGTAAAATGATAATTTGATGTACCCGTTAGAAAATATGCAAAAATGGGTCCATTACATACTAATAAAAAATTAGTGAAATGACAGTTTGATATACCAGTTAGAATTCAGATAATAAACTTTATTGGTTTTCGTTTCTTTAGGACACCCTTTTGATTCGAGGGTTTTGCCTCCTAACATCATCTCTGATGTTATCTAATGTTCGCGTTTTACCCTATTCTTGATTTCTTTTCTTTATTTTTTTTGTTCTTTATTTACATTTTAAAGGTTTTATGAAAATTTTTAACAATTCATATATATGTAAGTAAAGTTTAACTGCCACATTTCTTTTCAGTACTGTCCAAGAAAAAATATTTTGATTATTTGTTGCACTCATTACTGGGATCAGAAAAAACAACAGCATCGCGTATATCGTTCCCTATAGTACAAGATAAATTGCCTAGATTTATGTATGAATGGTACTTATTGTTTGGATATTTTCCTCATTTCAGATATGCACAATTTTGCACAACCTTGTATAGAAGGGCTACATTTTTAAATATTGTACGTAATTGAAGAATTAATCAAATCATTTTTTAATTTGCTGAAATGTGTATACATTAAACAATTTATTAATGTAAATGTTTTTGCTGGGTTTTTTTTTGTTTAGTTTAATTATTATTATTAATTAAATGGATACTCCTCTGTAAGTACGTATTTATTCTATTTCATATAAAATGTACAGTTCAAAATAAGTTTTATGCTTTTACAAAGTATTACGTTTCAACTTATTTTGTAACATTACAAATTAGGAGCAGAGCAAACAAGAACCTCCAATATATAAGAGGTAGGATCAGGTGCCATGGAGGAGTGAGCATCCCCTGCTGACGGGTCATTCCTGCCGTGTGCTCCTTGTCAACATTGGGAAATAACTGGGAAATCCGTCGTCAATTCTAACAATAAGTGTTTGACTTAAATAAATTGTATTTGCAATCATTTTACATGACTAACAAAAATGATTATTTTAAATGAAACTATATTCCTGTTTCATCAACTTGTTTGTCAAAAAACGTCAGAAAGCATTTGCTAACACATATTGTGCACAAGGGAAGTTGACGATAGAAAAGTTTAAGTCATCACATTTATCATACTGTAAAATATCCAAATATGAAACAGAGGTGTCAGACTCTGTGGTATCTTTTATCTCAAGCCCACCAGGATATATCGTATCAATGAATACAATGCACTAGAGCAAAAATATAGAAAAGCTTGGCATACCTGAATTTTTTTTGCAAGTATATAGGAATATGCATTTAAGTTCTTGTATTTTGTTTTATCGCCAGGTAAGGAAAAAATACAAGGTTACAGGGACGAGTTTATATTAATTTTTAGAATTTTTTAAAAAGTTTTTTTTAGATGTATCTTATTTTGGACCACATTTTCTCTCATTATACCTTGAAAAATTAACAAATTTACATGTCGTAGCAAATATATCTACCTTTCTAAAGACAGTATGGTTGTAAACACAGTCTAAATAATTAGTCCTTGTCGTCATTGATTTTTGCACGTTTAATATTGTTGAAGAGTCCATTCATTTTTCAAATATTATTGAAACTTAAATTCTTGCCAGTATTAACAAGTTAATTAACACGTTAATTAAACTTTTTTGATAACTTGGGTGTGGAATCTTTAATTGATGATTAGAAATAAAATCTTGCACGATAAATTCAAAATATGATATATGCTGTTGATATAAAGAAGAATGATTTGTCTACGTAATATTATTTTACGTTTTTATAAGGAGCACACGGCGGGTTTGAGTAGGGGATGCTCACTCCTCCATGGCACTGAATCCCATCTCTGATGTTTTTGGAGGTCCGTGTTTGCTCTGCTTGCGTTTTGTAATGTTCAGATGGTCTTTGAGCTTGAATGCTGCTCGTTCTTTCCAAAATTTCGTTGAAGGACAAGGACATGCATTTGGATGGCTGCATCCTTTTAAAAACCTCGAAAGAGCTATAAATTTTCTGGGACTTTATTATAGCATTTTAATAAGGGACTTTATTATAGCATTTGCATAATTATTTGATCATCTTGATTGATTTGAGTGACACTGTTTTTAAAATCAAAATTTGATGATGATATAGCAAATCATTCTATTTACTATTTTCCGCATTTTTGAAAGGGAAAAAAAACCCGCAAACTTTCAGATGAAATATGTTTCTAAATCAGTGTAATTAAGAATATTTGGTGAATATGCCTAGATATGATATTCCTCAAATTTCGCCAAAATTTATTTAAAAATGGAAATCAGAAATTTTTATCCTCTTTGTCTCCATAAAAAAATGATTTCAATGCAGTTAAATCATGCTCAATACAGGATGCTTACTCCTCGTGAGCACCTGATCACCTCTGGAATTTCCAGGTTCCGTGTTTTACACCCATTTAACAGTTTTGAATTGTTTGTAGATATCACTGCGTGTTATCCCCACCTTCTTCATTCTGAATATCAAATGATAACAAGATCAATATCTGTGGTTAAATTGTTATCCCATTCAGAATGGATAATTCAAATATGGTATTTCAACATCATCCTTGAACTTGTGTATTCTCTATTTTTATGCTTACGTAAATTTCTTTCAAAGATGCTGATGAAAGAAGGGATGTGCATGTGGGGTGTAGGTTGTGATACCTAGGTTTTTCATCGATATTTTTAAAAGTTAAAGATAACGAACATTATCATTCTCAAAGGTCCATTTTAACAATATAAATCAGGAACAGAACAAACGCGAGCTTCTAAATACATCAGAGGTGGAATGAGGTGCTACGAAGGAGTACACATTCTCTGTCGCCGGAAGAACAATTCGTTTATTACAAATTTTATGATGAAATGAATATAATTGTGCTTTGATCGAATGCCACTCCAGATATGGCCGATGGGTGAAAGTTAAGGCTTCTTTCTCCCCCTTCGTTATCAATCAAAGTTTTACCAAAAGGCAAGCATAATTGCTGCCCTATTCGTATTTTGAATAAACAAAAACAAACAGAGTAAAACACTTTTGTCTTACTCAACCTCGTTGAATAAACATTATTGTAATAATAAAATATATGTACGAATTAACTGACATTAAAGATCGAATAAAAGTTCAAGAGTTCAAGAGTTATTGCTTCTTTCAGAGAAAGATTGCAGCTATATAATGTTTCTAGTTCATACATCAAAAACAGAGAAGATGCAATTCCTAAAAGTGTGAAATCCGATTAAGAGAACATTTGATGTGTTTTAAAACAGAGAACGGTCTTTGATCGTAACAGTTAGATAAACCAGCTTTAACACTTAATGGGGAAATACTCACTTTAGTGGAATGGCATTTCATCAAGCCGATTCTCCTGTTCTTTTTTTCTGAAACGACAACGATATATTTTGTTAACTCTCACATCAAGTTTTATGTAAAGTTATTTAGGTGTCATATTTAAGATAAGAATCTCGCATATCGAAATGTTAGTTTTAAACGAATGCGCCAACCATACTGTCAATATTCTGAACGGGCAAGATGCCTCTGACGTCTTGTTATCAAAGTATTTTATACCATAGGCCGACTTTCATCTGAACAAACGAGGGCAACAGATGTTGTAGGATGAAATAGATTAATCTCACTGTGTAACTATCGGATTTAATCTAGTGATAGTCCCAAAATACTTCCACTGAAGGTTAAGTAATTAATATACCTGGGTGCCTCATCAAATGGCGAGAGTTTTCTTTTACTACTTTGAATATCAATGATGCTTAGCCCACAAACGTATCGTAAAATTGAGAAAGATTACATCACAAGTTTTCTGAAACGAATTTAATGATCTTTTATGTTAAAACAAATGAAAACAAAAAAGTGCAAACTTTTCATTGAACCATCAAGAGTTATTATGAGAAATGTTTTGCAATTAATTATAGAAAAATATGAATAACATTTCACAAAACACCCACTTCATGACACAAAGGACTGAAAAATTTTTATTATGAAAACATAATCTATATTATAATAAACATGATTGATTCTCGTATAATTAGAGAGTGATTTACATTATTTAATTATTTCTTCTTAATTACTTCACTGTACCACACAATCCAAATTATTAAAAAAAGCTTTTACATAATTCTCACGTACTTTAGGTTCATAACGTACGAAATAAATATTGAGGCAAATATTCGAGATAAAACCTTGGCTTCAATATGTTCAAAGACAGTTGAATATCGTTCACATTTCGAATTTGCAAAACCAATTAAAAGCTATTGTTTGGTCAAAGTTTGGGCTAACTTTTTTCATTTCTTTTCTTAGGCCTATGTCATTGTTCTTATAATATCGGATTACTTTATTTACCTGATCAGTCAAAAGACTTATGGCGGAAAAAAAGCTCGATAGGGCGCTCTTCTCTTACATGAAGGAATTGTTCCATCCACGGTGTTTAATTATTTTTTTTCTTTAAAAATTGATAATTTATAATATTTGTAAGCTTGATCACTGGTTGTCATCATTATTATTCCAATATGACGCCGACCATTAAATGATTTTATCACAAGCATTACAAGATCTATTGTAAACACTGAACACTTCTAGTGAAAGAAGATGTATCCTTGTCAAAATTTTCCTTTTCTCTCATTTCTCGAGCTCTTCTATAACCCTTTATTTCTTTAAGGTTCGAAGTATTTCGGTGTACAGCTTATATCTGTGTAGATGTATGATGCATTGCCTGGTGGCGAAAATTATTTGAAATGAATGCAACTCTGACACGTAGGAGTTAAAGTTACATCCACTTTTCTTAATCCAAAAAATAATTACTTCATGAATATAAGTGATTTACAGTAATGAAATGTTTGGAGATAACGAACAATATTCCAGCCCAAAAGTTCAATAAACATTACAATACAGGAGCAGAGCAAACACAGACCTCTAAATTATCAGCGGTTGGATCAGATACCATGGAGGAGTGAGCATCCCCTGTTGACCGGTCACACCACACCTATCGTGTGTTCCTTGTCATGATTAAGGAAAAAAAGGAAAAAATCCGTAGATAATAATATAGTTCAGTACAGTAACAAATGTTTTGATTTTTTCACAAAAGAGAAGTGTTTTCTCTTTCCCCCTACTTTTTATTCAACCCCAAACCCTTAAAGATGTGAAAATGTTTCGTAGAATAAACGGGAAAGGACGCACTTGTTATGTTATATACAGTGGCTGTGAAGCATACATCCTTGTATAAACACTCCATGCACTTCTCCTAGTGTTTACCTATCGTAAATATTAACTGACAAAGATACAGAACAGGTTGTTCTGTCTGTTATCGAACGAGAAACATTCTATCTGAGGAAATCATTATCCCTAATTACGCCAGATACAGCCAAAAAATGAAAGTGTTATCTTTACAAAACAAAGAAATATTCTAAAAAGAATGCTATATGATATGTTTACATTTCAAAAGATCGATAATAGCATTATTAAAAATGTCCTTCGGTAATTCTATCTTTCAAGGGTGCAATTGCACTATAGTATTGAATCAAACAATTTCAAATAGCTGTAGGTTACTTGATTTTCCAAATCATGTAGATGTTTTAAGATACTAAGTTTTTTTCCCCCAGAAATTCACATAGAAGGATCATGTGTGACCTACTAATGAATTTAAATATTAAGCAAACATGGAGTTTATGGTGGCCCCCAGCGCATTTTATGGTGAACAACAAATGCAAAATACCCTAAACTAATATTAAAAGAATTAAAAAGAAAAGTAAAACTGGCTTTGATTCCAAAGTTCGATAAGTGATGAGACAATATCGATTCTAAAGAAAAACAAAAAGGTTTTTAGAAAGATAATTAAGAAAAAAAACATGATATGCCTTCCCTCTTTTAAGATGGATACATAAAAACTAACTGTTAAGATATTTGTACGACATTGTTATATGTATAATTAATTTCAGGGGAAGAACGTAGTATACACAGACAAAGAGGTTCCATCTGTCCTGACAGGTTTACAAACCTTATGCCAATAACTCAACAAAGAAGAAGTATAGTGTAGGAATTTAATTTTGTATATTATTGTATGTCTCTTTGTCACGTTATTATGTAAGATATCTTGTAAAAGTGCAGACTTGAGAAATGTTGGCTTGTTCTGTTTATCATAAGTAGGGATACTTTTACGTCATATCTGAAAGTTAATCTAAACCACAACAACGATGTTTCAACAGCATATAAAACAAGCGTTATTGACTAATGAAAGGAAAAATCTTGGAAAGAGACATTACTATCCCAATTATTGAAAATGTAAAAACAATCTACAATTATTATCAAGGTATATATTCATCATACCCTGTACGGCAAACTTAATGTATTCTTTCAATTTTTTTTATTGCTAAAGTTCTGAGCACTTTGTAGTCATAGTTTATGTACTTTTATTGAACTGTTTATCAAAACCTAGTTTAGCCAAAATGCTATGTTTCAGTAGGCAATCATTATGATCAATTTTATATGTTTGAAAATATAATCATAAGTTGGATTGTTATTTTGATCAAAACTTTCTTTGGTTCATTGATTGTGTGTTGTTTAACGTCTCTCTTGAAATTTTCTGTCACTTGCCAGTGGAGAGCTGCAAATTTTGTCTTAAGTTAAACCTTCGGGTAAATGGAATTGTTATAGTATGAATTAGTTACCTCGTTTATTTAGCATAATTATATGCAGATTTATACATATACCACCCAATCCTCAATTTTCATCTTGTCCCCTTAAGAAAAACCCCACAAATTACAAATATTTCGTCTGTGATATTGTTTATGGTATGGAGAAAATTTAAGTCATAGTTTTCATCTTGTCTTAGATTTTGTCTTGCTTTCCGTACGAAGTAGATAAGCCTGCTGTCCATGTTCATTGCAATTGTACGTGCCTAATCATTACGACATATTTTTGTATTAATTTTCTAAATTAAAGATTTAGTGAACAACAATCTAATCAGCATACACCGCTGAAAATCTGTCCTTTCTCCGCACGTTTTAGATATAAAATGGATTTAAGCAATCTTTAAACGAAAAAAGTATTTTTTTTTTCCTTATACTTTGATAAAAAGAAGGAAAAAAACTATTTCTGTATAAGTATCTTTTGCGAATTGGACATAATAAAGGAATATATTAAAGAACGATCAAATTAACCTTTATGTTCCTTAGTTCTCCTGCCAAACGACTGAGCTTGTTTTTTGATAAACAGGCAAAAACAAATAACATCATGCTGAGAGCTTAAATATGTCATTTATAAAAGTCAATTCAATAAAACACAGATTTCAAAGTTCAGAATTATTTTTAGAGTATTAAAATATTAGTCAAAATATTACACAATCTGACCCCCAGCACCATATATACATTGTAACATGATGTACAAATATTACAAAATGTATTTGTTATAGCTATACTTATTCTTTTTTATCATAATAATATTAAACCCTGATTCTTTCACAAGGTACAATATAAAGCATATTAAAGGTTGACCCCCTTATAAACATCATAAGTTTGGAAGACATATACAAAATGCTCTAAACTGCTGCCTGTCATCAAAAAAGGTTCTAGAAAACAAAATAACAAACAGCCAATAACAATACAATCGCGCAGGCATTAAATTGAACACAACTATTTCTCTCACCGCTGAATAATGGAAAAACCATATATAAAAAGCAACACTGCTTTATGTTGAAAAATCATATGGAAACCTGCTGTTGTAATGCACAAATTGCGGAAACAAAATAAATGTAGCGGAAATTGTTTTTGTAGTAACCTAATACATGGATTTTCCATTTATTACAATGCACAAAAAGTTTACTTGTTCAGTTAGAACGTGAGGTAGAAAATAAGTACTATAAATCTCTTTTAAACCCATTCAAACACTATCAAAAAAGATGGGTAAAACATAACAACAAAAATGAGAGAGAGAGAGAGAAAGAGAGAGAGAGAGAGAGAGAGGTGGATGGTGGGTATCATGACTGAAAATTTATTCAGCAGTTTTTAATAAACCATACTTTCTCTTTTAATAAACGGATCAATAATGATCACGTGATGGATTTTAGAAAATTTGCTGATTGGTTGAAAATTTCCATATTTAGATGTAGGAAAAGGGAGTAAAATTAGTTCAATAAAAAGAACCGAACAGCTGCTTAGTATAAAGCTATGTACAATACAGACACTATTATATAATAGCATAATAAAACAAGAACATGTCACATAAATGAAATTATTTGCAATAATTACTATTTTAATCTAAGGTTTCAAGCTCAAAAAGATTTTTAGCTTAGCAAACATTGTTCAACATAGACGCAAGATGGTTTTTAGTTAAACCCACATGAAATCTATGGTTCCAAGGCCCAGACATATTTCAA